TCCAGAATAATTTATATATAAACTCCACTGTTTTGTTAATTCATAACGTTATACAGTTGGATTCAGTTAACGCATGCGCGTCGCAAACGGCGGTGAATGTTGGAATGTGTGCTGACGATGCAGAAAAGGGAACAGAGGGAAATCAACAATAAGATGTGAAGGTAAGTCTTCATAATAATATTTATGTGTGAAGACAAATTTACGTCATTAGATACTGAGTATGTTATTGGTTAATTAAAGACCCGTCTTCATTAGCCCAGTTCGGAGCAGAACAGTAGGACGTTAAACCCCATTTCATTTAATTAAAGACACAGCCTCTGTACTGTCTGTTTAGATTGCTGCTACTCTATGTTTAGAATCTGTGATCAATGCAATAGAGGCCATGCAAATGTATGTTGTATTGTAGAAATATTTGAAATTGACCATGGAAACAATATTAACGTGTAAGAGACGCGTTGGCTTAGTGAATATGATGCTGGCTTATTAACCATTAGCCACGAAAAGCTAACCATGCTTGCTTTCCAACTTGTCCTTCCTTGTCAATGGTGCAGGTTGGGATTTGTTCAGTTTGGACTAACAACTGGGGCCATGTGTGGTATTGACTGTACATGTTAAAAAACCGTAGGCCCTACACAGTTATCCCTGCTGCCTTGGCAAGATTTCGCAGATAGAATACTCCACGACATATGCAGGAAAGTTAACACCTTTTAATTTCATGTTTCTGTATGTGTTTCATTATTTTGTTTCAGGTTTGTATTGAAGATAAAACAAATTACAAGAAAAGGAAGATAAGTATAAAGTAGTAAACATAGCCTTCAGAAATCACAAAATTTAAAGCCATGTAAAATTTCTTGCTCTTAATTTCTGTTAATTTTTAATATTTTTGTAATTCATGACCGAAAAATTACAGAATATAAATTATTTTTACAAATGATTTTGTTTTGTATTTAAAGGAGCTAAATCGCTAATATTTTGGACCTAGAAATTGAACCAATTAATCACAAAGGCGAACCAGTAGAACTCGTAATACCGGAAATTAAGTGGAGGTACGCGTAATTTTACTTGTTTTATAACAAAACATGCTACTGAGTCTGTTAAAATAAAGAACATTACAGAAAAAAAATCATGTCGTTACCTGCGTCCGTCGAGGTTGTCCAATTGCAATTTCACTTGTCAACTTATCAAAGATTTATCATTGGGTACCCTCCGATTTTCAGAATTCAACATCACAGAGCTATTCCACCGTTTCCATTCAATTTTTTTAAGATTTATCAATTGGTCCCTTCCGATTTTCAGAATTCAACATCACAGAGCTATTCCACCGTTTCCATTCAATTTTTGTAAAATGCTTACTTTTAAAAAAAAATTGACCTAATTCAAGCAGTCCCCACCTCCCAGAAATCCTGCATATGACACTGGTACTGCCAATAGATTGTGTTATTATCTACAGGAATATCCATCATTGTTTCTATTGTCCTTTTCGTATTTACTTAAAGTCTGTGATCGTCATTCGAAGAATTGTTAATCCCTTGCAAACTCAAATATTCTGAAATGGCAATCTCTCTAAAGGAATATCAATTCGAAAATAGTTTAATTTCGTTCAGTATTTACGAGAAATAAATTGAAAATTTTGTAACATTCGACATCTGGAGACGATATAAAGGGGATGTGGTTAAAACAAGCCAATTGTCTGCGATATCACTTCGGTGGAAACGGACGTAAAATACAACTATTTAACAACAACAAAACAAGCCAGAGTACCAACAATCTTCGCTACAATCTTTTGAACCAGGTCGAAATTAAGCGGGGGATTATCTACCTCTGATATACAGTTTTCTTAATTAAATGTTAAAATAACAGTTTGAGTCTACAGTGTGGATTAAACCGTGACAAATTAGACCATCGGTTGCTTTAAATGTTCAGAACAACTAATTGCATTTAGACCCATGTTGTAAAAAGACTAATATGTATAGAGTTAATGTGTTTTAGATACATCTATCGATATCATATGGTGCTATATATTATGTTCATAGAAAACACAGGTAAAATCACAGGTTTCTAGGAGCATTAGTTACTGGTCTGACACCTAGATTTTGTATTCATAACAAAACAAATACATGTAATGGGATCTTATTAAAACAATGAGCTAAATTTTAACTAAAAACTAAACGCATACAATAGTGTAGCAGTAGTTCTGTTTTTCAGCAACCCAAATAGCGATTGTTGAGGAAAATGCTACGTTATGGTTGTAATATCGAGCACCACCGTTTATATAACAGTAACACTGCATGACCACGCAGTGCGTTCTAGTTTTTCTGATAATGGCATTACTTTGGGCAATCGTTTTCCGGGAATGATAACCAAGATCGGTTCTTAAAAAGTGATCCACAATGAATTTTCCGGAGTAATTGTAAATCTTCCAAATGATGCACAAACCCCTTGTAATTTCTGGGAAATCAATAGCGAACGAACCAGCAATGCTTACAGGTTTAAATTAACAATAGAGCTTAAACCTCAAAATAGAAGCGTGTACAGATCGATGAACGACACTCAAAATCTATTTCAAAATCTTGACATTTGATTGATAGAAGTTAACAAATCATGTACAGGACAAGCTTCAGTAAATTTCAAATCTGGTTGGGATTTTTTATTTGCATTTTTCGATTTCTTATTGGCTTAATACAATACTTACTTTATAACATTGGAAGTTCTGTTATTAAATTCAAAATCGAAATTTACGATCCCTAATCAGCACCAAGAAATGGATTTCCACCGAGTGCTACAATTTAAAATCACTGCAATGAAACCAATTCGTGTTTGGGTCACGTTTTTTAGAATCTGGAAATGGTAATTGACATGACACTAGGATTAGCATCCAACTGCTCTAGGTTGTAATAGTAATGGATTTAGTGTTTTTGTAGGAACTTGATGAAGTGATTTTCAAGATGGTAATTCACCCCCGTGCTGTGTTATATAAAATGGTGGATTTAAGAGATTTCCGTGGCGGTTTTCACTTTAGTTCTAAAGAATCGATATCGTTCAAATAGCTCAAGTATATGTCCTCTGATAAACCCACGAAGATGCAGCAAGAGAAATTGTATAGTTTCGGACTCGACAGTGGTTTTCAAAATCATAAAGATTTTTGAAAATAATTATCTCTAAACTTCAAAACATTAAAATGTTAACAATGTTTATAACCAGCACGGGCCACTAAAGTAAGCTGCTGTGGATGTATGTTTTATAGCCCCACAACCTGTCTTTAATCGATGAGAACAACATATTCCCAATGCACCATTTTAATATTCATGATTTATGTATCTATATTACCAACAGTATATTTAATAAGTTGAAAATATCCATATTGCTCTCAATAAGATAAAATTTGTACCGATTTATTATGAAAATCCCTACTCTTAATATATTTGATTACTATTTTACATGTAACACTACAAATTGAGAAATATGCATTTATCATGCTCTCGAACTTATTACTCGATACGTCACCTAGGTTCCCTCAATTATACATAACAAATTAGTTTTACATTCGATATTACTTGTTGACAAACCAATCCAAATGGTAATTCGAAATAATATGTTTGTTTACATCATCTCCATTTTCAACCACAGTGTAATGCTTATATACTTATACCGATACGACTGGTAACTTGATATATATTGGATTCATTGAAACTATTGCATATATTAGATGTTTAGAACAAAATACCAAGCAATGTCGTAGATTTTCATCGAGAATTATTGCACGTCATCTTAAATATAAAAAATAACACATTTCACACACTTGAATTATTAATTATTAATCTAATACATTTAGCATACATAAGGGTCGGCTTATTGACATAATCCCCATTAGTGGGATGGGCTTGGACATTTAATTAGAACATTGTACGAGCAGTCTGATATCTAGAATATTCCATACACTGCGAGATTTTAATAAATGAACCATTAAACCAATACGATTATGAAACATTTGTGTCCGCGCATTTGTCCGACGTTGTTTATTTCCGTAGAGATGTGACCGGGTGTCTCCATAATGAATTCTCAACTTGGGAATCTGAAGAGTATATCTAGATCTTCGTAATAATTAACTGTAGCTGCATTTTTATATTTATTTAATTTTGAGAATCATCAATCTGTTTTGTGCGCCAGTTGGTATTAAAATCGGATCCCACATTCCTGAATGCATCAGCGGTTTTAAAATTCAAATTTTCTAAATTTCCCTTTAAAGTACTCTGGGCACACCCATTGTTTGGAAACATCTAAACAAGCAACATATCTACCAAATATGCCTGAAATCTACCAAGCAGTTTACAAGACCAAAGGGGAAGAATTCCCCTTTAATATACCACTCTCCGCCTCATGGCGTTATTCAACTATATTGAGAAAGTCTAGCCCTAATAATGTGCCACTGTACACCACTTTGGCGTCAATCTAGTGCATTTAAACAAGACGAAAAGAATACCATTTCAGGTGTTTCTCCACTAAACATGCCTGTTCAGGGTGACCCGGACTCACCCCTATACGGTCCACATTAACCCAATTTGAACAAATTTGAACAAGCACCGCTAACGCAAGTTTATCCAAATCTGCCACGCCGTTCAGAAGTTGAAAATGTAAGATCAGAAAGGCTCTCACATAAGCCTTTAAAGTCGTGATCAGTTGTCAAGAGTACGACGGATACCAACTCAAACGAGATAAATGAAATGAAAGGAAATTGGGTTTAAAGCCCCGGTTTTCCACACCAACACTGGGATCGAACCCTGGTTGACGAGCAAACACCTTTCTCACAGAACCAGCTTAGCTCCCTTTAAATGTTATAACTATTTGAATGATTTAGCCACTGCACTGTTATTCCTAAATGATTAGTCTTAAATACATATACTGCATCAATAGGTAATAATATTAAATATATCATGAAAATAAATAACCTTTCCTCACATTTATTTCAAATTTAAAATATATCATGAAAATAAATAGCTTACCTGTCCAAACAATTTGAAGAAATAGTTACATTTATTTCCTTTTTTAAATAACTAGTTTTATCTATATCAATAACCGAAACTTCTGTAGATTATAAGCTTTTGTCTTCGCGCGCAATACGGGAACTAAATAATATAGATTATGGCCACAAAACCACGCTGTTACATTTAGTTGTCTCTTGAGCCTCAAACAGTTATGCGTGTGATCGTGTAACCGATCATTATATATTTAAAGTCGTCTCAGCTTCGTTTATAGGGATGTTCAATTAAAGTCAAGTGATACAGAATTCAGTCGTGTCGGTGTTCTGTCAGTCCCTTCAGTGTTCCCGGCAACTTAGGTAGTGTCAGTATTAGCGTGACGTGTTTTAATATTTTATCGCAACGAATATGTTTTACTTTTAGCTCTCGTGGTTGATTGAGGTATTTACCTCTTAAATTGGCGCTTGGCGCATGCGTTGTATTCTGAAATCCCCTTTTCTTGGGATAGAGACAATTCAAATCCGAAACATTCAATCGAGTATCCCCAAACATTCTGCACACAGAGATCCATCTACTTCATACTTCGAGAATAGATCTCTGATCCAAATGGCCGCCATATCCAAAAAATAGTATAGTGTTTTGTAGTGCGGTTCTACCCCGTTTCACACCTGTCATACACACCAAGACTAAATAAAAAAAAATTAAATTTTATTAAATGGAAGCAAAATAAATACTTCTCGAAGTATACTTAGTGTTTTCGACTAAAATCGTCGATTTAGGACTTAAGATGTCGGTCAACTAGCTCAGTGTCTGTTCTCAAGCTGAGCTAACTGTAGACAGGCAGAATAAGTTTAGTAGGATACCCAAAGAGTCACAACCGTTGTTGCCATTGGTTACGACTTACAGGGAATAACTGTTGCATCATTCAAATGCATACCTCCGCTTCTAATAAAGACTAATGCCCAATTAACATCTAAAAATTCTCGGATTATTTGTAGGGTCTGCGTGTGACTAGTATACAAAGAAGTGTCTTCCAGTCTACAAAGAAGTGTCTTCTGGCCGGTGATAGTGATAAAATATAGATGTGGTGATACACCTTGGAATACTTGCACTGAATTGCGTAATATTCCCTATAAGACAGTCCTTCACGGGTTGATAATGTGTTCTGTGACTCAAATGAAACTGGACAACACTGACATAACCCACACGTAAAATGAAATAAGTACCATCATTATCCGGAGACGGGTATCGCACCAATACCAATTAAATGTCCGCCCTTTAAACTCCAGTACATATATTAGCTTGAGAAATAAAACATGTTTGACAATTCAGTTACTGAGGCAAACTCAAATATACCGTAAAGAATATACCGCTATTCATTTTCTAATGCAGAAAAGTCAGAATGAACATGATCAGTTATTATATCACATAAACCATTAGTCAACAAGAAACTTAGCAATGTTTTTTGTGTAATCTTTATTTAAAGACGAATGAAAATTATGTGAAAATGTTTTAAAAGACTTTGGGGAAAAAACCTAAGAAGCAGCGAATATCAAATGCTCACACGATACTTATACACAGGCATTCAACATAAACACTACCACACACAGTAGAAAATTAGTACCGGGTATCCCAAACCTCATTGGCAGTGATCAAAATTGAAACACAGCGAAAGTGGACAAAAATAGGTCATGTTCCCCGATAACTGATTTTACCAAATTTTACAATCACTTTTGTTTACAGAGAGAGATAAGTTACAGAGAGAGATAATGAACGAACATTGTGTAAGAGCAATAAGTGACACAAACTTATTCTAGCTTACATAGACTTGGTGTCCCTTTAACACCTATATAAACACACTGAATATTGCTTAATACCAGGATAAGCTGTTCAAGTCATATAACCTCTGATCAATACTATATCATACGTAAAATGTTAAAAAGGATAACTCCAGGTGCATTAACACTATATTCAGTGAATGTTTCACTACGTAACTACTTAGTGGTTACCTTACAATTGTCTCATTTCGATTATCACTCAGACGTATTCGATCTATGTTCTATTCCAGAACGATTAACAAACAACAATATCGGTTTCATGCAGTCAGAAGCAATTCACATGATCTGCGGTAATGAATACTTAGCAGTTAATGTTCCAAGCGCACCCTCTAATTTTACTGAACGTTGCGTGGAAGTATATTCCTGTTCAGCACGACGGTTGTTTAATGACTAGACTTCCCCGTATCATGCCATGTAAAATACGATATCCACAACGGTGATCTGATCCAAAAGTTGTATAAATACTGCTACATGTACTTAAGTAGTCCCAGATACAAACAGGTTACATTGTCATTAGAAACCTGCGAAATCTCGAAAGTACGTGTTACAAGATTGAAATAGGCTAGGAATATAAATGCTCCTGAAGGAAAGCATGTCACCAGCTGGAACTAGTGTTACATACAGAATTAAAGGGTATTGAAATGTTTATTAATGCCCCACGCACGGCGGATACAATATACACAGTTATGGCGTTTGCGTGTTGAATATGATTAGATGAGTTTCCAATGCATAATAAATCCCGGTTGATGATCGCGGTTCCGTACAAAACATCGAGTTTTGTTCATTTCCGACTACTGATCCCTAGAACGCAAGTCCCGTGAAAAGCTGTGAATGGGGTTGTTGGGAGGTAATTTCGAGGAGCTAGAATCGCCAGTCGGGTGATCCAAGTAACTCTAATTATACACAGCTGTCAAAAACTGTCAATGCTAATTCAACGTTTGTAATGCGGACACGAAATGGTCACCAAACCAATTACTGTGTAACTAGAATTTAAATACCATAGTTAAACGATCCCTTTATTGATGAAAATTTAACAATACCTTTAAGGGTTAACGAAATCAAACTTTCAACAGGCTTTTTGTACGTTTGGATTACCCTAACTAGAATTTAAATACTGCAGATTCATGAACCAAGTCTTCTAGAAAGAAACCTATAACAGTTCAACTATTACCTATGGTTTCATTAAATCGCCATTTGAAAAGCCTTTTCTCCGTGAAGAGCATCTTCTCAGCGATTTCAATTTATCATGCACGAATTTATTTCACTCCAAATCTACTTAAGACGCCTTCAAAACCAGTTACCGTGATGAGGCCGTGTGGCGAAAGCTGTATGTCAGTGTTGGAAATATCTTAATGGTAATAATATTCTTTCAGTCGGCTGTTGTTGTATCAGTTGGATAACAAATAACCCGTGGCGGTAACTACTTCCTTTAAACTATGCTTGATTTAATAGTTTTTGCCAAATTCGGCTTTTTATTTTGTCTAGTTGTTTAGTACAGCATCTTTTTATACGTATGGTTCAATCTGTTCTCTGATCTTATTCTTGGAAAGATGAGAATCGCAGGGAATACGCTGAGAGTTGGAGAGTTGTATGGAAATCGATTGGCTTAATATATATCTTGACAGCAGACTGCTACGATTAATTCGACCTTTTTTTAAGATGTGTTGCGTTTGCTCGATCATTTAGGGTTAGTACCATAACTGTCACGATAATGATCTTCGGCATGTAGTTCCTTTATTGAATTTCCCCTCCATTATCATTCCATGGTGCATAGTAATCTCTACATATTTTTTATTCATTTTGATATATTCGATATACACCCGACTGCTTTATGTAATATGTATGTAATTGTACAGGAATAGACATGTTGCATGCCGTATTTACTGCACGATTACAAATATGCAAAACTTAACATTTAAATATTTTATGCAAGTTGAAGTATTGTAGTCGACAGCTGTCACAGGCAATACTGTAATTAGAACAGGCATGATGGAATACCTTAATTATGTTTCATAACACACAATATTGCATATTCCACATGATCTGGGTATATTATATTCCAGTACACCATGTGGAAATACTATTGTCCCTACTTAATTTTATGGATTAATACTTCCAAACTGATATAAAATCGTAGCCTTTAACCAAATTGAAGCGTTTGTGTTTTATCATTTCGTTTGTGTAAATTCAAACAATTGCACGCTTTTTTATGACTGACGTGTTAGTGTGACCCTGTTTTGCCGCTCAACATGTAAACACCCAACAGGTCGGAGGAGTTTTTTTTCGACATTGATCTCATAAGATATATTTCTAGTGGCCAAGATTACAAGATGGCATACCACGATATTCATCATAAAACCTAGTATAGGAGCAGAACAGTAGGATGTTGAATTTCATTTCATTTCATGAACTAATGTTTGTACTAATCTTTTGCCATTTAATAATTTTTGTATTTAGATACAATAGTAACTGTAGACCCTGGCATTTTATTCAACATTGCAGACATGCATGCCAGTCTTATTTTTATCGCGTATCTGTTAGAAATCGCGTCCGTATTGTTGATTTTTGATTGGATAAACCAATGTCTCGTTTATAGACACGAATAAGGCCTCCTGGAGGGTTTCACAGACAGATTCAAAAAGTAACTAGGCATTTAAATCCCCCCACCACCATTTATTCTCCGAAATGTACATTTTTACGCAATACAATACAAGACACGATGTTATGTGGAGTTATGTTGGCTAGCTAACATGGAGGTCCAGTGCTAGATCCCGGAGTTGGCCGAGAAAGTTCATCGGGTTTTTCCGACGCGGTTCCGCCTTGTCAGTGGTACACGACAGAGGAACAGGCAAGGGACAGCGTATTGTCCGGGTGGGACGAACAATCGAGGTCCCGCGTACACATCGGCGTGTACGTAAAAGAACCCTTGACAGTTGGAATTCGAGATAAGAGTAGGCTGTGGTGCAGATTACGGGACAAATTTCCCTCATAGCACACTGTATGAGGTAACCCGTCTTCATTAGGTCGTTAAACCTCCATTTCATTTGTAATAATATATTGACACAACTGCCTTGCTAACGAACGCCCTCGCGCAGCATTAAATTTGTACATGTCTCGCTCGTTATCCACCTTTAAACCACGCATTTTATTGAACAAAATTGATCCAATGTTTATGAAGCTATATTATACATCTAGAAAACATAAGCGGTTTTTTGGGTGATTGAAGTTAAACATGTAGGTGTAATGGTTTCTTAATTCAGAGTATATATACGGACGTAATAGGCATGATCTTTAAAACGGAAACATAGGTTACCAGGCAACGAAACACGTTAACTAGCTGCTAAGTCGTCTGACAGTTCTAAGCTAGGTGCATCATAAATACACAATACAGACTAGATCATAATTAAAGA